ATGATGAAGCCCCATCTTCTTACTAAAGAATACAAAAAATTTAGTTGGGCATGGTGGCACGTGCCATGGTTAATCCCAGCTGACTCAGGAGGCTTGAGGGCAGCGCTGAGCAGTGAGCCAAATGATCGGCCATTTTGTACTCCAAGGCCTGGTTCAACAGAGCAAGAACTCCATCTTAAAAAAAACATAATTAGCCGAGTGTAGTGGCAAGCACAGTAGGGTCCCGGCTACTTGGGAGGCATGAGGCAATGGAGAATCGCTTAACCTGGGAGGCAAGGTTGCAGTGAGCCAAGATCGTGCCCACTTCACTTCCAGCCGTTGGGTTGACAGAGCGAGACTGCATCCTCAAAAAAAAAAAAAAAGAATTTTGATTTTCTTTAAGCCTTGTCAAGTATCAAAAGATTTAAAATTAAATATTTAATCCAAAATGCTTGGTGAGCACCAAGTGGCTTTACTTGGGATTCCCAGCGTACTTGGGAGGCTGAGGTTAGAGGGATTGCTTGAGTGCCTAGGATGTTTGCATTCAGGCCTGGCTCACCATTGGTAAGACCCTGTTTCTTTTTAAAAAAAAAAAAAAAAAGAAAAAAATAGGGTGCAGAGGTGCATGGGAATAGGAGTAGACTATCAAAGGAAAGGTGACACAGGGGACATCAAGCACAATCAGATAGGACATCTGCTTTGGCGCGCCAGGTTTGATTTGTTCTGACGTATTTTCATTAGGAGTTTTTGGGAGTTGGGCATCTGTTCTTAGGACTGCTAAATTTAGATTCCTGGAGTCTTTTTTTTTTGATACCTCAATGAATACCAAATTGACAGTAGACATCCCTGTCGAGCTGTTAATCTTTCCTTTTTATCCCTTTATTGTTTTTTTTTGACGACAGGGTCTTACTGTGTTGACTCGGCCTGGAGTACAGTGGTGCGTATCATGGCTCCCACTGTGGCCCTTGACCTTCCTGGTTTGCTCCGAAGTGGATCCTCCCACCTTTAAGCCTCCCCAGTTGCCGGCGGGACTACAGGCACTTGCCACTACACCTGGCTAATTTTTTTATTTTTTATTAGAGATGGGAGGCTGGGCCACGGTGGTTCACGCCTGCCTGTAACCCAGCACTTTTGGAGGCCAAGGTGGGTGGATCACCTGAGGTCAGGAGTTCAAGACCAGCCTGGCCAACATGGGGAAACCTCACCTCTACTGAAAATACAAAAAATTAGCCAGGCATGGTGGTGCATACCTGTAATCCCAGCTACTTGGGAGGATGAGGCAGGAGAATCGCTTGAACCCGGCAGGTGGAGTTTGCAGTGAGCCGAGATCGCATTATTGCACTCCAGCCTGCGCAACAAGAGTGAAACTCTATCTCAAAAATAAACAAACAAATAAATAAATAAATAAAAATAGAGATAGATTTCACCATGTTGCCCAGGCTGGTTTCGAACCCCTGGGCTCATGGGATATTCCCGCCTCAGCCTCCCAAAGTGCTGGGATTATAGGCGCCAGTCATCACACCCAGCCTAGCCCTTTTAATTGCACATGAAGAAAAACATGTTTTGTGAGATAAAAGCATCTCTGGGTTGGCTACTGTAATTCCAGATTACTTTTACTGATATTGGTTCACTAAGAAAGAAATTTGTGAGACGAAAGACTGTCACTTTTGTACATAAAACCAGCAGGGGTTCTGGAAGGGGGACTCGCCACCTATACACTTAGAAGTAAAAGTCCCCATAGGTTCTCACTAAAAAGGGAAAATCCCTTTTCGGACAGCTGGCAACCAAGGACATTGGAAAAAGAACCTCAACCAAGGTAGGGGGTTAGGGAATGAGACAACTCATCAACAGGTCTGTGGCCATGGGAGGCGTGTAGAGCACAAGGGGTTCCTCCTGCAGGAACTGTGCTTGAATCCGTGGCCGCCCCAGAACAAAGAAGAGAGTCGCTTCTTTGTCCCACTCAATTCTGACACCATTTAATGTCATCCAAGGGGCAAAAGACCACAATGCAAAGCTGCAAGACAAGGTGTTTTTATTGAAGTCTTAGAAATTGCAATTTGGGAGACAGATTCAGCTAAAAGCCACTTGTGTTCTGAAGAGAGAGGGTAGAGGAGGGGGTTTTTAAAAAAAGCTGAGGGTGATTAGACAAGGTGACAAGTTGTTTTGAAAGAGGCGATTGGCTTAGTACAAAAATCCATAGTTTATTGGTTGGTGCTGTTGAGTTGTAGTGCTGGTGAAATTCAGCTTTCCAGGATGCACTGGTCATTGCAATTTGGCCCAATTCAAAGGTTCAAGGTAAGTTCCTGTATTGTTTTTTTTTTTTGAGCTTTTATTTTTTTCAAGTTGCAGGTCATGTAGGGTGTCCTTCTTAGAATGGCTTCCTCCCTCCATTTTAGAGCTCTGAACCAGAGTGATGTCATTTATTTTATTTTATTTAGTTAATTAATTTTTTTTGAGATGGAGTCTCACTCTGTCGCCTAGGCTGGAGTGCAGTGGCGCAATCTTGGCTCACTGCAACCTCTGCCTCCCAGGTTCAAGCAATTGACCTGCCTCAGTCTCCTGAGTAGCTGGAATTCAGGCACACACCACCACGCCCGGCTAATTTTTGTACTTTTAGTAGAGTCGGGGTTCACCTTCACCATGTTGGTCAGGCTGGTCTTGAACTCCTGACCTTGGGTGATCCGCCCACCTCGGCTTCCCAAAGTGCTAGGATTACAGGCATGAGCCACTACACCCGACCTAGAGTGATGTCATTTTGTATATCATGTTTCATACTAGCTTAATGTGTGGGGGAACTGCCCCCCCACTGCCATATCTGGTATCAGAAGTATGAGAGTACACTAGGAGAAACCTTGGGAAGTGCTGGGATTACAAATGTGAGCCACCATGCCCAGTCTAATGTGTTTTTATAACTCCAAATCCTCTCTGAAACAAGATAAAGAATAGATTTTAAAATGTTTAAAAAAGACATGCTGACGGGCATGGTGGCTCATGCTTGTGATATGGTTTGGCTGTGTCTCCACACAAGTCTCACTTTGAATTGTAGTAACTGCCATGTGTTAAGGGTAGGGCCAGGTGGAGACACTGGAGTCATGGGAGCGATTTTCCCCCAACTATTCTCATGGTAGTGAATAAGTTTCATGAGCTCTGATGGTTTTATAAATGGGAGTTTCCCTGCACAAGCTCTCTTGCCTGCCGTCATGTAAGACATGGCTTTGCTTCTCATTTGCCTTCCACCATGATTGTGAGGACTCCCCGGCCTTGTGGGAATGTGAGTCAGTTAAGTCTCTTTCCTTTGTCAATTACCCAGTCTTAGGTATCTTTATTAGCAGCATGAGAACAGACTAATACACTCCTATAATCCCAGCATTTTGGGAGGCGAAAATGGGCAGACTGCTTGGGCCCAGGAGTTCAAGACCAGCCTGGGCAACATGGAGAAACCATCTCTACTAAAGATACAAAAATTATCTGGGCATGGTGGTGCATGCCTGTGGTCTCAGCTACTCGGAGGCTGAGGCAGGAGAATCGCTTGAACCCAGGAGGCAGAGGTTGCAGGAAGCCAAGATTGTGCCATTGCACTCCAGCCTGGGTGACAGAAGGGGACTCTGTCTCAAAAAACAAAAAACAACAACAAAAAAATTAGCTGGGCATGATGGAGCATGTCTGTAATCCCCGCTATTCGGGAGGCTGAGGTGGGAGGATCACTTGAGCCTGGGAGGTCAAGGCTGCAGTGAGCTGTGATCATGCCACTGCACTCCAGCTTGGGTGACAGAGTGAGAGCCTGTCTAAATAAATAAATAGGAAAAAATTTTTAAAAAGATAGGGTATTTAGTGACGATCACTGAAGGACTTTCATCAAAAGTAACTGATGTGCCAGTTTTTTGACACCTTTATTCATAAGTCAGTATAATATTTGTCAGTTTGAATGTTACATACATGGTAAAATAGATTATGAAAATATCATATTTACAATAAGAACATTATTTTATATAACGGACTCACCAAATATGCAACCTCTTGCAACAATAACACAATGGACTCAACTCTATCCTTTGAATGGACCAATTTCATGATTCTCCTAAAAACTTTTGAGTTCAGTATAGTTTCTTGTTGCTGCTTTCTGTGATCCGGTGCTTAAGAATCAATCCCTGCAAACCAGCCAGTGGAACCAGACCTCTCCAGAATTAAGAAGAGACAGCCATAGAAGAAAGGACACAAACTCAAAAGTCTCAAGTGCTGTGCCATATGCTTGATTTCAGAGCATTCAGACACTCAAGGTCAAGTGTGGGGCCATATATATATATGTCCTGTCATCTCAAATGCTACAGCGGCTACAGTTAGCAGGATATCGGAGAGAGGAGGCATATCGTGGAGGAATGAATCACTCCCAACAATTATGTGAGCATTTCTAAAAATTCAATACCAAAGATTCTTGAAAATACAAGTTTACAGACAGAAGCTATACAGCTAGCCATGAACTGAAGTGCATGTGCAGTATCAAGAAGGAGGAGCTGAGCTTATGAAACCATGCATGTCTTATTTATCTCTAATTTTAAAATAATTCTTTCTCTTATTGGGTATGCAAGTGAGCAGTGGAGAAAGTGGTGCATCTGCAATACCTGAAATTAACAACAAAAAAGGAAAAAATAAAATTAAAAGTCATCATAGGAGGATGGGATTTGAGTCAGTCTAAAAATGGCTGAGATTAGAGGGTAGATCATAGATGCCCCTCTTCCCCCTTAAGTACAGAAGCAGAATATGTAAGAGAGAGCATGATGGGCTAGCAGACTGGGGTGATGAGAGAGCTCCGAAGTAATTAGCAGATTACAAGGACGGAATGGAGGCATGTTGTTAATTTTTCTAGCTTATAGAGTAAGCTGACCACTCACCAGCTGGTGCTAAGGATTTCAATGCTTCCAGAAGATGTGGGCTAGAGAACTTTATTAGGCATCGGAGGGGTTCTTCCCTCTCAGCCAAGATGCTCCCATTTAAATCACTTTTGAATTTCGTTTCAAGCTGTCAACGAACATATTTATAAATGACTATTAAACGTATTGTACAAATACGAATGCTAAAATATAATGAAATCAGAATAACATTTCATTAATTCTTGTCATGAAGAAATAAAGGATTTAACAGGGGTGGGAACCATTTAATCTGCTAACTGCAAACACAGAGGGCAGGTCAGGCGTGGTGGCTCATGCTTGTAATCTCAGCACTTTGGAAGGCCGAGGTGGGCGGATCACCTGAGGTCAGGAGTTTGATACCAACCTGGCTAACATGGTGAAACCCCGTCTCTACTAAACATACAAAAATTAGCCAGGCATGGTGGCGGGAGCCTGTAATTCCAGCTACTCAGAGGCTGAGGCATGAGAAATGCTTGAACCTAGGAGTCAGAGGCTGCAGTGAGCCATAGATGGTGCCACTGCACTCCAGCCTGCGCGACAGAGTGAAACTCCATCTCAGAAAAAACAAAACAAAACATAGAGGGCAACTGGTATATCAAACAACATTCAAGGCAAAATGCCAGCATGCACAGTGCCTGCCACATGGGAGATGTTGACTGTCAGTTCCACCCTCAGGTGCCCGTTACAGTTTGCATTCTTAATGGAAAATTAATGCTCTGTTTTGCAATCTGTAACTTCAATGTAAAAATACCACATTTTTTTTGAGACACACAGAGATTTCTTTCTTTCTTTCTTTTTTGAGAGTCTCATTTTGTTGCCCAAGTTGGAGCGGTACGAACATGGCTTACTGCAGCCTCGACCTCCCTGGCTCAAGCCATTCTCCCGCCTCAGCACAAATAGCTGGGACTACAGCCACATGCCACCACGCCTTGTATTTTTGAATTTTTGTAGAGACAGGGTTTCGCTATGTTGCCCAGGCTGGTCTCGATCTCCTGGGTTCAAGGGATCCGCCTGCCTCCGCCTCCCAAAGTGCTGGGATTATAGGTGTGAGCCACTGTGCCCAGCTGAGATTTCTTTTTAACTTCTAATTATGGGATATTTTAAACACATACAAAAGTAAGGAGCATGGTATGAGCCCCATGTGCACATCACCCAGGTAAAATAATTATCAACTAGTGGCTGAGTGCGGTGGCTCAATCCTGTAATCCCAGCACCTTGGGAGGCCGAGGCAGGCAGATCACCTGAGGCTAGGAGTTCGAGACCAGCCTGGCCAACATGGTGAAACCCCCGTCTCTACTAAAAATACACACAAAAAATTAGCCGGGTGTGGTGGCGGGCACCTGTCATCCCAGCTACTCGGGAGGCTGAGGCAGGAGAATTGCTTGAACCTGGGAGGCAGAGGTTGCAGTGAGCCAAGATCGTGCCACTGCACTCCAGCCTGGGTGACAGAGCGAGACTCCATCTCCAAAAAAAAAAAAAAGAAGTGAACCCCAATACCATTACCATACCATCTGATATCATCAAATATCCATGAAATTTTAAATTTCAGTTTTTTTTAAAGTGATCATTACATTTCAGAGGCAATATAGTAAACTATGTGGTGGATGAGTAATGTCTGCGACTAACTCAAATGGTTCAAGTAAATGCACCAAACTGTTAACAACTGGTGAACTGAAGCGAAGAAAAATAGATGTTCTTTGGAATATTCTTGCAAGTTTTCTGAAGATTTGACCCTTTTTGTTGAGATGGAGTCTTGCTCTGTTGTCCAGGCTGGAGTACAGTGGTATTATCTCGGCTTACTGCAACCTCCACCTCCCGGGTTCAAGCTATTCTCTTGCCTCTGCCTCCTGAGTAGCTGGGACTACAGGTGTGTGCCACCATGCCTGGCTAATTTTTGTATTTTTAGTAGAGATGGGGTTTCACCATATTGGCCAGACTGGTCTTGAACTCCTGGCCTCAGGTGATCTGCCCGCCTCAGCCTCCCAAAGTGCTGAAATTACAGGTATGAGCCACCGCGCCTGGCCAGATTTGACATTTTTCAAAATAGAAAAGGTAGGAAAAAATTAGTAGAAGCTACGAATAAATGTGTACCTTGACATACAGAATAGTGCCATTCTGAGATGTGTATAAAGGGAAGTTTAGAAAGCACATTTTCTGCATGCTAGACCCGTGGCTCTCATGTTTGCGTGTGCAGACTCAGCTGGAGGGCTCGTGAAAACAGAATGCGGGTTCCTACCTCCCCTAGTGACTAGGGTGGGGTCAAGAATTGGCATTTCCTCCCCCTTCCCAAGTGATGCTGATACTACTAATCCAGGGACTACGCTTCGAGAACCACTGTTGTAGTTTATCGCCTGTTTAAAGGAACTAGTGTAAAGCCTGCCATTAAGGGACCCAACAATGGCAGATTTAAAGTGTGGCCTGTAGCTATAGAAAGGCTAAAGAGAAAAAAACTTACTGAAAGGCTTGCAAGCAGTAAGGTGTTTTGAGTATAAGCATGGACCGAAATTAGAGTGATCACAATATAAGCCTCAAGTTCTCCTAGTGGTGGCAGTGGGTTTGCATTAAACACCTGTAGCCCCTGCCCTGGCCTTCCCGGTGGGCAGCAGCACATGTCTGGAAGGCACACTTCTGGAACAAGCCACATTTGTGGTACTGCCTAGGTTACTGGCTTTTCTCCATGTGATGCCGGCTGGAATATGTAATGACATACCTATTCTTTCTTTTATTCAGCAAGTATTTATGAGTGCCTATTATGTGCCAAATACTGTCCTAGGTTGTGGATGGGCTAGAATGGTATAATCTACATTTTTTCCCCCTCAAATATACAGATTACTCCCAGTTATGCATAACTGCATTAATATGTAAGATGAAATGAAAAGGCAAATCCATAATTTCTTTTTTTCTTTTTTGAGATGGAGTCTCGCTCTGTCGCCCAGGCTGGAGTGCAATGGCGTGATCTTGGCTCACTGCAACCTCCGCCTCCTGGGTTTAAGTGATTCTCCTGCCTCAGCCTCCTGAGTACGTGGATTACAGGTGGTGCTCCACCACATCCAGATATTCTTTGTATTTTAGTAGAGACAGGGTTTTACCATATTGGCCAGGCTGGTCTGAACCTGACCTCAGGTGATTGCCTGCCTTGGCCTCCCAAAGTGCCTGGATTACAAGTGTGAGCCACTGCGCCTGGCCCAAATCATAATTCCTAAAAGTCTTCTTGCTCACACAGGAACTTATAAACAATAAAGAGGTTTATTTAATTCATAAATTTATACATGAAATCTTAGTGACAATGAAAAGGACACAGTTTCTAGATTTGTCTTCCACTTAAGGTTTTGTCTTTTTAAAAATGTTGATATCCTGGTACTTAATCATTTATTACGATGTCTTACCTTATACTGTGCAAATTCTAGCTGTGGTTGAGGATAATCTCCAAATGTTTCTTGAGTTATTCGTTGGACTCTCTCTTTTTCTACTATGTTTTCATGTGTGATCCTTGAATCCACTATAGGTGGAAGATTTCAAATAAAACAGCCATTAGGAATATATTTCATCCTTAAATTATTCTCCTTTCATTCCTAACCCTTCAAATTGTTTGTATAATTTTAAAATAATATTTACTGTTTCTTTTCTTGGCTGTAATAATTTCTTGTGTGTGTGTATATATATATACACATATCCAGTAGATATACATATATCTACCTATATATGCACGGCACCCAGCCTATATATGTATTTTTTTTAAGAGATGGGGTCTCGGCCGGGCACGGTGGCTTACGCCTGTAATCCCAACACTTTGGGAGGCCGAGGCGGGAGGATCGCTTGAGGTCACGAGTTCGAGACCAGCCTGGCCAACATGGTGAAATCCCATCTTTACTAAAAATACAAAAATTAGCCGGGTGTGGTGGCAGGCACCTGTAATCCTAGCTAGTTGGGAGGCTGAGGCAGGAGACTCGCTTGAACTGGGAAGCAGAGATTGCAGTGAGCCAGGATCACGCCACTGCATTTCAGCTTAGGCAACAGAGTGACTGTCTTAAAAACAAATAAACAAACAAACAAAAAAAACAATCAAAAAGAGACAGGGTCTCACTATGTTGCCCCATCTGGACTGGATCTCTTGGGCTCCAGCGATCTTCCCACCTTAACCTCCCAAGTAGCCAGGACCACAGATGCATACCATTGTTCCTAGCCTCACCTATGTATTTTTAAAACTGGAATTGTAAGAGACACACAATTTTATATTCTGCTTTTTTTTACTTAAAATGAGATCAACAGCAGTTCCTATGACACTGGAAAATCATAGAAGTGTTTAGTTTGTAACAGTGGCACATTTCATTGCCAAATCTCTACTAAGAGATAGGAAAGTTTTCTTTTTTTTATGAATTTATATTTTACCCCACCACTTTTGTAAATTTAGTAGTTGTGTACTCTGTTCTCTTGGGTTTTCTAGTAACAGACTTTAGACATCTGTAAGTAGCAATAGTCATGATTCTGATTGTTCTAGAAGTTTATCCAGTGCATTAAGAGCATGGGCTCAAGATCCAGACATACTTGGATTTCACTCCTGGTTTTGCCACTCCTTAGCTGTGTGACTTTGCCTAGAGAGTTACCATACCTCCCTGAAACCCAGTTTCCTGATGAATAGTGCTTATTCATGGGACTTCTTGTGAGGATTAAGGAAAGACTACATATAAACATCTTAGTGTGCCTGGCACACAAGAAATGCTCAACAACTATTAGCTAATTTTTGTTTTTGTCATTATTGTTTTGTTGTTTATTGTTATCCTAGTAAATCCTAAAGGAGACCTATGGTAGATTAGCTTTCCTCCTTCAACAGATATTTCATTTTCAATTTTTCTGAAAACAATGAAAGTTTTTTTTTGAGACGGAGTCTCGCTCTGCCGCCCTGGCTGGAGTGCAGTGGCCGGATCTCAGCTCACTGCAAGCTCCGCCTCCCGGGTTCTCGCCATTCTCCTGCCTCAGCCTCCCGAGTAGCTGGGACTACAGGCGCCCGCCACTTCGCCCGGCTAGTTTTTTGTATTTTTTAGTAGAGACGGGGTTTCACCGTGTTAGCCAGGATGGTCTCGATCTCCTGACCTCGTGATCCGCCCGTCTCGGCCTCCCAAAGTGCTGGGATTACAGGCTTGAGCCACCGCGCCCGGCCAACAATGAAAGTTTTGAATTAGGATCCTACTATACACGTTTTACCAAGTGAAAGAAATCTATAAGGGAATGATGCATTTCCAAAATTCAGTTTTATATTAACACACACATACTATTTATATCCAGTCCAAGGCTTCTTTCCTGTAGAGGTGTTGCAGAGTTGTGAGTTTCAAAGGTCTAGGGAAAAAAAAAGTGAGTATTTTACTAATTTTGACATCTTGATGTACACATATTAATTTATTTTAGTATATTAAAGTATGCCAAACGCTTATTTTTTTCCAACGGAAAGGTCCAAGGCTATATCCTGGCTTAACTGAGCAGGACACTGACAAGGAGGCTGCTGAGCCTGCAACTCGACCATTCTGTTTGAGGAGCTCTGTGCTTTATCATAGAAATGGATCTGGCGAGTGCAAAGCCCAGGGAATCTATGGAAGCGTTTGTACTGTGGTATTTCAGCGTCGTCAGTGCTGAATCTTCATAACCCTAAAAAACTTACTGAGATTGCTTTTGGAAAAATAACTTTCCTTCTCTAAGTCTGAATCTCTTGAACCCCTTCTCCTACCTTCACCCGCTGAATGCATTGTTTTTATAGTTTAGTGCTTGACAACGTGGATTTTCCTAAGAATGCCACTGTCTTTGTTTTTTTTTTTGAGACAATATCTCAGTCTGTTGCTCAGGCTGGAGTAAGTGGCATGATCATGGTTCGCTGCAGCCTCAATCTCCCTGGGCTTTGGAGATCCTCCTAACTCAGCCTCCCAGGTAGCTGGGACTAAAGGCACGTGGCACCACGCCTGGCTATTTTTTTTTTTTTTTTTTGAGACGGAGTCTCGCTCTGTTGCCCAGGCTGGAGGGCAGTGGTGCGATCTCCGCTCACTGCAAGCTCTGCCTCCCGGGTTCACGTTATACTCCTGCCTCAGCCTCCCAAGTAGGTGGGACTACAGGCGCCTACCACCACACCCGGCTAATTTTTTTGTATTTTTAGTAGAGACGGGGTTTCGCCGTGTTAGCGAGGATGGTCTTAATCTCCTGACCTCGTGATCTGCCCACCTCGGCCTCCCAGAGTGCTGGGATTACAGGCGTGAGCCACTGCGCCTGGCATGCCTGGCTATTGTATTTTTTGTAGAGACGGGTTTCGCCATATTGCCCAAGCTGGTCTTGAACTCCTGGGCTCAAGGGATTTGCCCTTCTTAGCCTCCCAAAGAACTAGGGTTACAGGCATGAGCCACCGTGCTTGGCCACTACTGTCATATTATAGCAGAACAGTTTGTATCAATTTGGTGAGAGGGTAGTAGGTAGGAGAGGATGGCTAGAGAAGAAAATCATGATCTAACTTGAAAAAATATATATATTATTTATCTTTTATTTTGTAGAGACGGGGCCTCCCTATGTTGCCCAGGCTCGTCTCGAACTCCTGGGCTCAAGCATTCCTCACACCTTGGCCTCCTAAAGTGCTGGGATTATAGGCGTGAACCACTGTGGCTGGCCTCATGATGTAAGTTCTTAATGTTAGTTCTTCCTTAAGAAGGGACTGCTTGCACAGAGCTATCACTTCTTTCTGCTTAGAACAGATGAAAATACAGAAGTATAACATCTCTAGTGGCTCAAAGATATACACAGAGCATTAACAATCCACTCACAGGAGTGTCAACACATTTGCAGACATTTGCCATGCATAATTTGAAAAAACACCCCTGCATCTGTAAGGACAGATCTGTATTTGTCATTAGAGGGGAACATTAACATTCAAATAATTTTAACACATGAACTTTGGGACTTAAAAAACCACTGCTTTTCTCTTTAATTCCAGTGCCTGTATAACCTACTTGACTGATGGGACAAAAAGTTAATTCTTCTTTTCTGTTGTTTGACAGAATAATATATTTAGCTTCAAAAGACAATGTGAAGTTACTCTAAAGAGAAAACAAATTCTAGTGTGATTAGCTGATTTGGAAGCTGAGATCTACAACATAGACTCCAATGACTAATGACTAGTATAAAACACAATACAATTGTAAAAAGATGGCTGTGAGGAATTTTTATTTTCCTTTCATGTTCACTAATTGTAAGCTTTCTTCATTTCAGTAATATCTAAAGTGATCTCCTCTTGTCAGAGGTAGATTTTCCCAGTAGCTACTTTTCCCAGTAGCTTCTAACTCCTGTGTGAAAGAGAAAATAAAGATTTACCTTTAAATAGAGTCACTGATTGGCTCACCTGATTATACTGTTTAAAAACAATAGCCTTAAGAGAGTCCAGATACCGACTTCTCAGGTCCATTTTCACAATCTGATGGTGTTTGCTAGCAACTGTCAGCGCCTTGAAATGAAAATTTGCAAGACCATTATTAGGATTACTGTCTCTGTGTTTGTAATATATGTTGAAGTAAAATGTAAGAGCAGCAATTAGTGAATAGTTTCCTCATAAATGTAAAAAGTAGAGAAAAATCTGATAGCCTGTTACTGAGCTTCAAAAACAAAGTGGTTAATACCATTAAGATTCTGATAAATGCAGTCTTTTGTATCAATTTTTTAGAAAAGTGATCCTGTTTAAAGTTAGAAGTTACTAATAAATCAAGTTCAGACTTAGGAATAAACAATAAATACTCAAAATGTTACTGTTTTTGAATACCAGTCATCTAATACTGTAATGATATTGCCATACAAAAATGCAGATATGTATGCTTTAGGACAAATACTAAAGAAAAAAGTGTATACTGAATATAGCTTATAAGAGTTTCCTGTCATTAGGGAAAAAGAAGACTGAAACAGAATTCCTATGATAGGATAAGATGTTTACCCAGATCTAGAGAATAGAGACAAGCACGCCTTAAGATACACAATAGAAATGAATATTAGTCCATGCGGTGGCTCATGCCTGTAATCCCAGCACTTTGGCAGGCCGCGGCAGGCGGATCACTTGACGTCAGGAGTTTGAGACCAGCCTGGGCAACATGGTGAAACCCAGTCTCCACTAAAAATAGTAAAGTAAATTAGCCAGGCATAGTGGTGAGTGCCTGTAGTCCCAGCTACTTGGGAGGCTGAGGCAGGAGAATCGCTTGAGCCTGAGGGGAGGAAGGTGCAGTGAGCCAAGATTGCCTCACTACACCCAAGCCTGGGTGACAGAGTGAGACTCTATCTCAGGAAAAAAAAAAAAGAACGTTGGCCTTTGGGGTAATGTTTAAACTACCTGTGGCAAGGTGTACTCACCTGGCTGTAAGTGGATGAAAGACCACTATGTATCATGGAGGAGGAGACCCCAAATGTAAAGAAGTATTTTAAGGAAATAGAAGTGAGTAGCAGTCTTTGCCATTTCAATAAACCACCAAAAAAACTTAAATGACAAGCAAGTAGTCACAGGGACCCTAGGGCTCGCCTGGTCACAACAGTGGAGTCCTTGGTACTCCACACCGCACCTCCACCCAACTCTGCTGTGGAGTGACAGGACATGATGCAGCCAGGATGGCAGAGCTGCCCCCCTACAACCAGCTGACGTGGCAGCTCTGGAACCAACTGAAGGTGCCACTGTGGTTGTGAATGCTAATAGCGGCAGCAGCAAGTGCCAGGCCAATTTAGGGAGAACTAACTTGGGGAAAGATGCTAGGAAGCCTGTGATAGTAAAGGCAGAACCATAAAGAGAAGCAGGCTCTGAACAGAGGCTACATCTTATGTGGAAGCAGTCTCCTTGTGTGTGGAATGTGGGAGAAATGGTTACAAAGGAAAATAATGTTTATTAATAAGCAAATTATACAGTTATGAAAAAGTAATGTGGTATATTTATTTGTAACCATGTGGAAATGTTGTTACTTTTTTTTTTTTTTGCGATGGAGTTTCTTTCTCGTTGCCCAGGCTGGAGTGCAATGGCGCGATCTGGGCTCACTATAACCTCCGCCTCCCGGGTTCGAGCAATTCTCCTGCCTCAGCCTCCCAAGTAACTGGGATTACAGGCGCCTGCCACCACGCCTGGCTACTTTTTTTGTATTTTTAGTAGAGACAGGGTTTCGCCACGTTGCCCAGGCTGGTCTCAAACTCCTGACCTCAGGTGATGCACTGACCTCAGCCTCCCAAAGTGCTGGGATTACAGACGTGAGCACCGTGCCTGGTCTACCCTGGCTTTTATGAGAACTATCTTGTCAAAGGCAATAGCAAACTTTGACAGTAGTTATTTTGAACGAATGGAATAGGGAAAAGGGGTATGAAGCTTTGAAGACGTCTTATCTTTAAAGACTTCTGTATCGGTTGCATTTTTTATATTAAGTATGCATTATTTCTAGATCAAAAAACAATAAAGTACAGCTCCAATCTAATATCTTATGCCATGTTCCCATCTGCAGATAACAACACCCTCTGTTTCTTATTTTAGGAGAACAAGAATTACATGTGGTTTTCTGTGTCTTTTTTTTTTTTTAGAGGTGGGGTGTTGCTTTGTCTTGTGATCACAGCTCACGGCAGCCTCGGACTCATGGGCACGAGCAATCCTCCCACTTCAGCCTCCCAAGTAGCTGGGACCACAGGTACATGCCACTGCACCTGGCCTGGCATTCTCTATCAAATACTTATTGAGCAGTTAAAATCTATATAGATTTTTGAGATAGGATAATAAAATATTATAGCTTGTAATAATTTGTTCCATACCTGACCCAGAAGCGGTGTATTGCGCCTCAGAGTGGAGGAGGACTTGAAGGCATACGGAGTCTGGGAGTAGTATACCACGTAGGTAGGTTTGTACTGGTTTGGCTTTGTGTACTGAGTTCCCCAGGCGATTCGAATCCAGACTGCATTCTCCTCAGTTTCTCTGAAGCTGACTGTCACCTTATTTAAAAAAAAAAAAAAAAAAAAAAGGCATAATTTCCTAATTAAAATTTCATTGTGGCATCAACTCCAGGTGCTTTTTAGGGGTGAACAATGATGTCCCTATGCTTGTGTATGTGGGTTGAGACCTGGCAGTCTTTTTAAGGGTGAACAATGATGTCCCTATGCTCGTGTATGCAGGCTGAGGCCTGGCAGTCTTCTTAGGGGTGAACAATGATGTCCCTATACTCGTGTATGCAGGCTGAGGCCTGGCAGTCTTTTCTGCTTTTCATGAGTATTTTGGGAATCTTTGGGAAAACATTTTGTGATTTTTTTTAAAAACATCCTTTTCATTTCTTCTTTTTTCTTCTGAGACTAGGTCTTGCTCTGTTGCTCAGGCTGGAGTGCTGTGGCATGATCATAGCTCGCTCACTGCAGCCTCGACTTCCTGGGCTCAAGCGATCCCATCTTGCCTCCCTAGTAGCTGAGACCACAGGCATGTGCCATCATGCCTGGCTAATTTTTTTTAAAGTTTTTTTGTAGAGGTGATTGTTTTTTCAATAATTTCTTGGACTTGTCCTGAAAACTGTTCTTCCATCTCTAAGAGTTTATAAGGTAAGGCAGCCTTACAAATGAAATACTTGTTTTATAATGAAGCCTTCTTAGCATCTAACCCAGACCTAGCACACACTATAAAGTTTAACAGTAAGATTTCTATGTAATTAGGCTGGGTGTTGTGGCTCAAGCCATAATCGTAGCACTTTGGGAGGCTGAGGTACGAGGATCGCTTGAGCCCAGGAGTTTGAGACTAACCTGGGCAACACAGTGAAACTCAATATCTACCAAAAAAAAGAAAAGGCAGGCACAGTGGCA